TTTTTTTTTCCCCTTCATTCAAGATTGGCTGCTATGCAGCTATGAAGAAGAAAATCTATGCAATGGGTGGCGGCTCCTATGGAAAACTCTTTGAATCTGTGGAATGTTATGATCCTAGGACTCAGCAATGGACAGCAATCTGTCCTCTGAAAGAGAGAAGGTGGGTGAAAATGGAAATAAAAATAAAAATTACGAAAATACATGTAGTCAAAAATTTCCAAAACAGTTAGAAAAGTGTATTTAGAGACTTCATTTTATTTTTATTTTTTGTTTTTAAGAAGTTGATTGTTATTGTCATTGGAGTTGTGTCAGTATATACCTGATAGCCTGTGTGGTTTTTTAACGCTGAAGTTCTGGGCCTCTGATCAGAGGAAGTTGTCTTTGTTTCTTTGAAGAATACCCAAGATACCTGTTACAGACTCTTATGAGTTTCACCTTGCTGTTCTGAATCCCAGCGGCCTGTTTTAATGCCAAAATGTGACCGAGCAATGTGTCAGAGTTGTAAATACATCCTGATGTTATAAGCAATGCTATCCTGATGCAAACCCAAAACTGAAAACTAGTTCAACTGGAACCTCAGAATTTTGTCGGCACATAAATGCTTTATTGTTCTATTTTTTTGCATGGTCTGGCTTACAGCTCATATCCATGACTCATCTGATCTTGTTAAATGTCAGATGCCCAGAATGGAGAAGGTTCAGGCGAATATGTGGAACGGTTTAGATATGTTACCACTTTGTCTCTTTTCCTCGGATTCTCAGATTTGGTGCAGTGGCCTGTGGAGTTGCCTCTGAGCTTTACGTGTTTGGTGGCGTCAGGAGTCGTGACGACAGTCAAGCCAGTGAGATGGTGACTTGCAAATCCGAGTTCTATCATGACGAGTTTAAAAGGTAACGTAAACATAGGAAATACATAACTTAGATGCTCCTCTGTCCTTTTCACCTCCCCTTAAATGCATTAGACACTTACAAGTGTATTAGACCTTTGTTGCGTGCCCCGTTGCTCATTTTACCTTGTAACACCCCTACTGGGTCGTACAGTGGCTTGTCCCTGCGGGGTACCGTGCTGGGCCTTGATGTGTAAAAGGCCCCAGTGAGAAGCCCTCTCTGTCCCTGGAGAGAAGCACCATGACCATGGATGTGCTTGGTCTGGCACTCCCTGCGCTCTGCAGCTTCCCTAAGCTCCCAGCACCGCTGTCATCCCCTCTGTACTCACGTGCCAGGTTCCTAGGGCCTGCATGAGGAGCAGTGCAAGACTAGGTAGCAATAGTTACCCCTGGCCCAGGCCCATTCCTGGAGACTTGCAGCTTAGGGAGCTCCTGAGCTGGAGCTGCTGGAATGACAATTTCTGTTCCTGGCACTCAGGATCACCATCTGAATCACATAGGCTCCTGTCATAGGAAGGATGCTGCACACTTGTTACCCGCATACTGCGTGTGGATAATCTCCTTTGTGTTTGTTTTGAGTCTGCTTTTGATGACTTCATTGTTATCTCCAGGCTCTTACTTTAAAATGCACCTGAGGCCTTGTTAAGCGTGGTAACTGTTCAAAACCACTCACATTAAACAATTTTGATTGTAGTTCAGCTTATTTTCCAGGCATAACTGGCAGGCTGTGATACCACCCATGTTTTCTTCTTGCATGCAAATATAAATTATACATCTTCACTTTTTTAGAAACTGCATTAAAAATAAGACTTTACTGTCAGATATGTCAAGAGTTGTTGACAGTGTAAGAGATTAGTGTGTTTATATTACAAAGTCAAGATTGATTTATGACTGTGCCCTTTATAAAAGCACATAAAAATAGAGTGTAAGTTTATGATACAATTTTCTCATAGTATATGGTTGTTAAAGACACTTCAGTTTCTGCATGAAAATATCTTCTCTATTCTAAGCACTATCCAAAATAAACAATTTTAATCGAAAGAAACTGGAGGCAAGGAAATGCTCTGCAATGTGGCTATAAGAAGCAGGCTTATTATAGCTTATTGCTCCGCATGTTCTGTAGTGACTTCTTATCCCTTGGGTATGCAGAGAAATGTTAAAACGAACTGCTGGACAAGAGTCCTTCCAAAGGGAGAAAGTCCCAGCAGGACATGCTTCCCTACGTACCAGTTGCTATTGCTCACTGATGTGCTTGAGATGTTTCCAGACGGGTGCTCTTTTTTTGAAAGATGGTAAATAGCTCGAGATTCCTACTAGTGACTGCGAATTTCTAGTCTCCTTGGTTGCTACCCTTTAAGCTTTCCTCAAGTGTAATTAGAAGTTTGCAAGTCCCGGCCTTAGTGTAGGTGAGTTCTCACTGCCACCTACTGCCTTCGGTGCAGTTGTGACTTTATTGGAAATGCCACCAGCTGTACATTTTTTGCTTGGTGGCATCCCAGAGATGTTCCTAGATTCACGTAAAGATAAAATAAAAATCCAGTTGTTTTGTCTTTTGAATGGTGGTACGCTGTGGTACTGGTGCTTATAGAACTGTCAGTATTTCTTTCCCCACAAATGTCAACCTACCTTCATAATATTCCAGGCCAGTTGGTCTTGGGTTGGTTCTTCTCTTCCCCTGCCCCACAAATTCTGCTGGGAGATGCAAATTTAAGGCAGGTAACTGTTTCTGTAGAAATGTAGTCTCCTGCGGAGCGTGAGCCCAGCACATGGGCTGTGCAGGTGCAGAGGAAGGTCAGGTGGCAGCAGGTAACGTGGCTCCACGTGTTGCAGGAGGCACCTGTGTTGTGGGTGCCCAGATACCCAAACCATGTCTCTGCTCTCAGAACGTGGGTGCCCAGATACCCAAACCACGTCTCTGCTCTCAGAACTGGGGCTTGGAAACCTGTGTCTGCCCTGCAGGCTGCTTGCGGGGTTGTGCAGGCCAGCAGAAACACAGGGCCGGGCGCCCAGAACAGTTACTGCTCGTGCCTCGGTAATCAATGCTGATAACCCACCTGGGAAACTCCTGTTGTCCCATTTTTAAAGGTCTGCTGGTGTCAGCCCTGGAGAGGTGTTACTTACCAGAAGAGGGTGCTGTGTTGCCATGTTGTTTCATAGCTTGAGCTCTCGCACATGAGGGCTAAGCGACCCTGAGTTTCAGAGGAATTCGGGTACATCTGCAAGGTGAGCACTGTCTGCTATGGCCACGGTGGTCACTGTGAACCTGATCAGCTCTAGCCCCTTTGGGAAGAGGGAAAATAATAACCAAGGGACCTCACTACAAATGGCAGTAACCAAATATTCCCCTGCCTGTATCAAGGCAAAATACTTTCTGCTGTCTAGATAGGACCCAACCGTCAGATCATGTTAGATTTTACAATTATGCATAGCAGTGCATTTTTATAGGCAAAAAAATGAAAATCACACATTCACATTCTTGACAACTCCAAATTTCTTGTCATCACGTTGTTTCATAGCACGAGTGATGAATCCGCACCAAGCTGGAGCTCAGTCAAGTACTCATGAAATGGGACCCCCTCGCGCTTCCCGTCTTTGTTCCTTCTGAGTGTTAACTCTAAAACTGCACCAAGCATTCCTGAAAAGTTGGGTCTGCTCTTAAAGTGTGTGCGTGCGTGTGTGTGTGTGTGTGTTGGGAAAGGTTAGGAAGGACTTTTCCACCAGCAGCTACAGATATTTTAGTTTTTTCGTTTCCTGATGTGCGGTAGCAAAATGCCTGGGTCCTGCACTGTGTTTCTGTTCATATAAATGCCCAATTCATGAGCATCTAGTGCAGGCGAGGCCCAAAGCTCGTGTGATTTCCAGCTACTTGGCAGCTAGAGAGAAAATGAGGTTTTGCTCTTCAGTGTGACAGCTCCTCATTGGGCTGTGACACAGGAAGACAGTGATGCAGCTGGATAAATGGGCTCTGCTTATAAAGCAGTGTCTCTCCTAGGAAGCCCCAAAGCTCGTGTGATTTCCAGTACTTGGCAGCTAGAGAGAAAACGAGGTTTTGCCCTTCAGTGTGACAGCTCCTCACTGGGCTGTGACACAGGAAGACAGTGATGCAGCTGGATAAATGGGCTTTGCTTATAAAGCAGTGTCTCTCCTAGGGCTGATTTCCAAAGGCTTCAAGATAGAAATCTACTTTTTGCTCTGTGGGAAGGTCAGGCAAACGTAGTGCTGAAATGGAGGTGTTTTAAAAGCGAACATAAAGGATTTTAAAAGTTTTGATAGAAGCTAGGAAGCAACTGAAAAGAGCCTGGTAAGTGCTGGGGAAGTTCTGCTTCACTTCCAGTGAGTGCAGTTTTTTTCTTTCCTCAAATTCCTTAACAGTTTCAAACTTCTGTCCCTTGTTTAAAATAAAGTCTTGCCAAGTGCTGCATTCCTGGTACTGCGCATAGGATTTCTTGTCTCTCTCAAAGTACAACTGAAGTTAGAGAATTAGTAATAAGGCCTTGCTATAGCAACATGTAATTTCCCCTGCTATGTACTATTAAGATTTCTATGCTTTTATGGCTATGCTGATTTTAAGACAAAGTTGCCTAAAATTTTCCCTGGAGGCAACGTTGACTGTTGTAGCAATTGCGGAACAGGCTCTGCTCTGTGCCTGCTGTCTTCCAGAAGAGCCTATTGGGTGGCTGCAAAAAATATTTGAGATTAATTAAACAGAGGAGTGGAGCAGTTCTGAAATAAAGTAACCTCCAAGTCAAGTATCCCCAATTTTCCAAATAGCCAGCAAAAGTAATTGATGCTGCTATGAGGGCTGATCAACTACACAACATTCCCAACTCATAACTAGAAAGTTAACTTGTATGCTCTGCTTTTCATTCAAGTTGGAAAAAAAGAACCTATTTCTATGCACTCATTAAAAATAACATGCCAAAAACTTATTTCTTTTTGCAGATGGATTTATTTAAATGACCAGAATTTATGTATCCCAACGAGTTCTTCTTTTGTGTATGGAGCTGTACCTATTGGAGCCAGTATTTATGTCATTGGAGATCTCGATACAGGTTAGAGTTAGAACTAATAATTTCCTGATGCTTGTTGTTTTAGAGTTGTTTAAGTACTTGCTGCTAATGAGTCTGATTTTTTCGAATTAAAGGCCAGGTTTTCTCTTTAATTCTTTGTAATTCTGAACTATGTTCTGTTCAAGTGCTGTTGTCCTCTGAGAGAGTTGTGTCAAATTTACATTTAGATGCATGTAGGCTTTGTATGTTGGACCTCTTCAGAAACAAAATCAGTATTATAAGTATTTGGTTGATTAGCACTGCAAAGATGAGGGGGAAAGATCATGATGAACAGCGCAGTGTTGCACTCATTTAAATGCTAGGAAAAAAGTTAGTGTCTGTGTGAATTCTTTTGTTTTTGTTTTCCTTCCACCTTCTCACTGGTGAGCAGGTGGTTCTGTGTTTTTATTGACATCATCCTTGATTCATGTAGAGCCAGGAGCTGCTATCAGCTTTAAATCCCAGCCACATACAGGTGTATTTTCACACGTGGTCAATTCTCCTCTCTCATAACTTACTGCATCACACCATATACTACAGGAGATGTTTGAAAGGCTAATTGTTTTCCTGACTCTATATAGATATATATCTATGTATGCCAGATTTTCTACAAAATATGAAAAAGCAAGGTAAAAATCTGATGTATATAAGTAGATAAGAAATGTCATTTTAAAAAAAATATATCCAGAAATGTTTTGAGATTGCATGTGTGTTCTAGTTCACTCTAGTAAGTAGGTATTTGCCTTTCAAAAAATGCAGGTGGCTACAGTGTGCTTTAAATATTTCTTTCATTCTTTGTGAGTTTAGGTACCAACTACGACTATGTCAGGGAATTCAAGCGCAGCACCGGGACGTGGCAGCGCACGAAGCCGCTGCTGCAGTCGGACCTGCGCCGCACGGGCTGCGCCGCGCTGCGCATCGCTAACTGCAAGCTCTTCCTACTGCAGCTCCAGCAGGGATTGTTCCGCATTCGTGTACATTCTCCATGATCCCGGGGCTGGAAGTGGAGGAGACTGGAAGAACTCTACGCAGTCCACCATAATATAGCTCTATATAAAGGAAAAGCTGAGAAATTGCAACTGAAACTTACTGTATGCTGTGCTTTGGTATGGTAACTGTTTTTGTTTTAAATGCTTAAAAAGCTTGAGTCTCAGTTCATGTTTCGGAGACAAATAGCTCTACGTATACATTAAAAGAAGAGATATACAAACGAGATAAGGAAACACCTTCAGTCCTAACTGTTTGGAGTTTAAACTGTGTTACCGAAGGAGTTTCTTTGTGTCTGAAACTGGTGGAATTTGGTAATCCTTTCACAAAGTTCATTGAGAGCAAAAACGTTTTAAGGTGCATTTCCCCTGCGGGGAATTGATAAGAATAAATGTGCTATCTTGGACTAGATAGCTCTAATGCACAGAAGCTATATGAAAACCAACCTCTCTGGTATACTGCAAAGACTTTCGTTCGACTGTAATGCCGTAGGAGATGTTGGTTGTTGCTGCACCATTTATTTCTAGTCCTTTCTCAAAAGCTAAGGTCTGTGCCTAAAAATGGTGGAGGTGTACATATATTTTTCATTCATTTGCAATGTTTTCATTCCTAAGAATATTTTTAATATATTTAAAATGAACTAATGTAAAACAGACACACTACAGATAGGTAAGCGTTTTTTCTACGCTGTCATTTGAATAGCCTGGCGCACTGGTGTACAGATGGGTGGCATGCACTTCTGTGGGGATTTTGGAGGCCATTTCCTTGAAGGAAAGGGGGGAAAAGTAGTTGGAGAGGTTTGTGACAATTGCTGTTCTCCATAAAAGATAACAGAACTTGACAAATATAAGAAAATAGGCTGTGTACCTTTTTACTTCAGCTGATCTGATAACCAAGAGTAGGGTTTTCAAGATTGAGGACTGTAGGAAGGTACATATTTTATCTCCATTAGAACAAAGGTGGCATGTGACAAGTATTTGTTTTGCAGAAAACATGATTTTTTGGACCATCGGTTAAGGAAAATTGTTCAGCAACTTTAAATTGGGATCAAAAGCTTGTTTACTAATGGTTTCTGTGCTGAGGTACAAAGTCTTGTTTACTACTACTGTTTGAAAGCTGGGTTTTATGGTGTGGTTATAGTGAAGAATTTAGTATCTTGCATTTTATTTCTTGTTAAGTCTTGTTCACATCAGTAGTGATATCTGAGTTATTCGTAGTAAAGATCAGCTGGTAGAACATTTTACCTCACTTTCTGATTTTGTTGTTGTTTGTGTTAGGCGGGATATAACATATTTATTTAAAAAGAAAAGAGATGGAAATAGAAATGAAATTTCATGCCCAAAAGAAAAAGACTTTATATTACCAGTATTATAACTAGATATGGTTCTTTCCATTTTGCAACTTTGTGGACCTCAGAAGCCAATCTTTGCCCTCAGTTAGTGTAAAGGGATGTCATTGTCATTGACTCATTGTAGATCTGCTGAGATACCATCCCAAGTTAGTGCAAAATAAGTATCTTTATTCCTCAAACAGACATTCTAAAACTTACTCCTGCTCCTAATCCTTCCATAATGCTGATTCCTGTTTGGAATTATTCTGGTTCTGAGTGGGGTGAGGTGGGAAGGGCATAGCAGCTACCCCATTGACCACTATTTATTTATTTTTTATTTTTTTTGTAATGCTGAAGTGCTGCGAGACTTGAATTATATACATCAGTTTTCTGGCCTATATTAGTTGGTATATTATATATATTTATGCATTGCAGTAAACTTGGTGTGTGTGTATATATATATCTTAAGATTTTTAAATTTATATACAATGCTTCACTACAGAAATGTGAACCACGAATTCTATCTTCAGCTGTCTTGTGAAATAAATCTTAAGTGCTGTTAGCTTATCTGTAAAACATTCCTTTTTGAAATTTTTGATTGATAGTTTTTTTTCTCCCCTGAGTAAGTGTAGAAATTCCATATTCCAAAAGTGATTGGATTAAATGTTTCCAAGGATCTGTCTCACTTTTGAGCTTAGTTTTCTAAGTGGCTTTAGAAATCTTCTGAAAATACTACTTAAAATATTGCAGGCTGCTATCTCAGAGCCCTTGTAGCTCCCCAGTACACTTCAGGGCATTCAGAATCCAGAAAAAAATAATAAATGCACATAGTAACAGATTATGTATACGTTAGCAGTGTTTTGCAGTTAAAGTTAGTGAACTAAATGTTTACACTTTGAGTAGGATTAACAGTAGTGTGGTTTTTTTTTTTTGTTTGTTTGTTTGTTTGTTTTTCTCTTTTTAAGGCATAAAGTGAACAAAAATCTGCTGGTAACCGGAGTGCGTTGCTAATACACTCAATTAGACTTGATCAAGAAGCTGAAACTTGGTCACTTCGAATAATTGCAAACTCAGTTTCATAACAATAACAGGCATGTACTCCTATGGTTTGCTTCAAGTTTGGTGACTGGGAGCCAAGTCTCTCTAGAGACACTTGTCAGCTTAAGGTTAAGGCATGTAAATTAAAGATTTGGCACTCAATCATCTTCCTTGCTCCATCTTCAAGCAAGGAATTGAACAGATTTCCAGTATGGATTAATCAGTGATTCTAAAATCCAGGTTGCCTGACTACCTGTCTGACTCTCCTTGGGCTTAGTTACACATCTGGGGACTTGATGTAGTGTGTTTTTCTGTTTTGCTTTTCTATTTTCTTTTTTTTTCTTCATCTGACCAAGCGAGCTGGATCAGCTCGCAGAGGACTGGAGCAAGGATGGGGACATGGGGCTCAAGGCAGAACATGAAGCAGCGTGCCCATTTTGGGCTGGAGCTGCCCCTGTGGGTGGCAGCCGCGGATCAGCCCACGCTGTGACCGGGGAGCCAGGAGGAAGCTCTGTGTCTCTGTGCTGTGGGGTTGCCCCAACACCTTTCTGTGGTGCTGCCTAGGGTAGGGGATGAGGATGGTCCTCGGGCTGCTCTTTCTATGGGGCTGATCCATAGATGGTCCAGCCTGGCTTGTGTTGTGTGTAGGAGAGTGTGTTGGGGTCTAGCAAGCGCGTGCCCCTCTGCCTACCCTGCTCATAATCCATGAACCCAGTCATGAGCAAGTTAGGGGGGAAAGCATGAAATAATCTAGTGTCTCCTCCCAGCCTGGAGCAGGACTTGGAAACCAAGGCTCTCCTTTCCTTAGGGAGTGCTTGGTGTTTTGGGAGGTTGTGTACAGCCATATGGGTAGTTACCTCTATGATCTCCTTTGGGAAGGAGATGACCCACCTCAGCAGTGGAGGAAGGGTTTCATAGGGGTCCTGGGTGTAGAGGGGCAGCTGGGGTGTCTCCAGTGAACAGCTCCAGGCGGAATTGGCTCTGTCTCCAGCCTGGCTATCCGGGCTTTTCGTGACAATTGCCTAGCCCTTCTTAGGAAGGCTGAGCCATGTGTGAAGGACCTCATGCGTTTTCCCAATTTGCAATTCAGGTTGAGGTGTTTGGACACCTAAAAGAACTTGTTTAGAAACTTAAGGTGTCCTTGCTATGCACAGGAGTCTTGACAGCCATCCCACCTTAATTCGTTGCTGTTCATGGATCACCACTCTCAAATCCAGCCAGGTTCCTCAGAGACTTTTTTTTAATTTATTTTTTAAACAATTTTCCTAGTGAACTCTGGTGGTTTCTGAGGATCAGGTTTTCAAGCTCCTCATCTTCCCTGCTGGTATCCTGACCTCAATGCCTGGTTGGACTGTGGGTTTGCTGTCACACTGAAAGAAATTCTTGAGGCCAATGTGTGTGAGCGCCGCTCGCCTCACATGTGGGGCCTATGGAGGATAGCAGTAGGGGAGCCTTGCTTCCCCTCACTCCTGCTCTTACCATAACTCTCCCCAAATGTTATTTTTTTCTTCCTTCTTACATGTGCCACAGATTTATTCCTGGAAAGGCAAAATGGGGATTTAATGGTAAATAGAAAAAGTTTGACTTTACAAATACGGGGGAAAAGTCATACATACACAAGTGTTCTGTTTTTCACATGTGTCCTCTGTGGCTCCTTTGCTCTTGTTGCTCCTTATTCCCCTCAAAATGGGAGTACAGGAATAATGCATAAAAGCGCTCACAAAACAAAACTCCTAGTTTTTGTTCCAGGAGTCTTACCAGAAGTGGAAGAGGCACCAGCAGCCTCCGTGTCCCTGCCCTGACCAACCTGCTTTGTGAGACCCTCGTGCTCCTGATGGCCGAGTGCTGGTCTGGACTTCAGACTCACATCCACTTTGTTTCCCTAGCCTGGAGGAAGGGACATCCTGCAGCACGTGCTGTCTCTTTCACCACAGTGAGGTGTCTCTGCCTGTTGGCTGTTCCATCAGCCATTTCTCAAGTTTTAGTTATTGTAGAAACTTAGCTGTTCCTCATCAATGACTTGCAATATCTGTGAAGGTACCTTGCCTTTGAACTGAACCCAAGTTAATATGAGATTACATGAGATGAAAGAAGTGAATCTGAAAAATAAGGTAAATTTACAAAATCAGCTTGCCGGTCACTGTGGGCAAACTGAATCCCTTTTGCACGAAAATCAGCATTTTGCCTGCTGATTCAAAATTCTTGCTGAAAATAGGTGTTCACGTTGAAGCCACTGAAATGCCTGTTTTTCTCCATAGATTCCCCTTCCAGAAAAGCCAGGTGGTTTAATTTCCTTTTTATAATATTTTCTGGTGCCTGCATGACTTGGTAAATGCACAAGTGAGGGGCTTAGGTGCCTTTTTTTTGTTTTGTTTTGGTGCCCATTTTGACTGCAGCTTCTTTAGTCAGCTGCATAAATACTGTCTTTGTACAGTCTGAGGTTTTTTTTTTTGAATACACATTTGCCATGCAAAGTGCAGGGTGTAATAACAAACAAATTTTGTTGAAAGTGCCAAACTTCTGTTTTCCTTTATATGTAACAATAATTTAAGTCTTCTGTTAAAATAGAGGTGCTTAAAATTCACCGTGTTTCAAAAAGAGTAGTAGTGGTTCTTCAAATGAATGCTGCTTAAA